CGCGTTTTTCCATCCGATGATTCAATAAGCGTTCCCAGCTCTTTGCAAACACCACGGGCCGCTCTTCTCCCTTCCATTCTCCCCTTCCACGCTGCCAACGCAGCAGCCTCAACGCTCGGGAAGGAGCTACGCGTGCGGCTCTCGGGCTTCGAGATTCCGACAGCCCCGCAATTCCGACAGCCCCGCAATTCCGACAGCCCCGCAATTCAATTCCGACAGCCCCGTTCCGAGGGCCGCGGTGCAGCTGCAGTCAGGCTGTTCTCCGCGGTGCCGCCGCGGCCGCCAGGTGGCGCTGTACAACCGGGAGCGGCGCGCCGCCCTCCCCGCACGGTGCTGCCCCGGAGCGGCTCGGATTCCGAGCATCGCCACCCGCAGTGGGGATGGTTGGTTGTATTCAACTGTGAGATGGAGGAAGAAGTCACTGTGTGTTGGAGGTGTTGGGGGAAAATTTCGGTCGGGCTACGCCGCGACCGTGAGTCGCTGAGGAATCGAATGTTATTAAATCGAGGCAATGTGAAGATTTTGACGTGGGGGTGAAAATGGAGTGTTTCTCTGAAAGGTGCAAATAAAATTAACTAATGTGAATAATGCGGAGTTTATAGAGCAATAAAAGAAGCAAAAACTGGCGTGCTTTGCTAATTTTAGGATTGACACCACAATCTGGGAAAGCAGCCTTTGGCAGTAGCTTCTACTCAGGGCAAGATGTTAACTGTCAGGTACTGGGATCGAGCCTCAGGCGTCTGAATTAGCAGTGAAAGTCTTCTGCTAAAAAAAAATCTCTGAGTGATGTATAAAGGGCAAATGGACAGTATTGTCAAAAGGACCTTAAAGTTTTTACGGTGCAAAGCTGACAGAATTTATGCCTGCAAATGCATTTATGCCCTCCTTAAAATCAAGGGTTTATAGCATTGGAGAAGTGAGTCAATACGCTTCAGACGTCTGTTTTAAAGAGAAATAGGTGGAGGAGGAATCCATTTAAATATGATAATCGTATAGCTTGGAGCACTGACAGCACTGAAGCTATTGGGGAATAGTGCCCTGTAAGCTCTCAAGCACTGTTTTTGCCTCTCAGTCTGTGCCTTTAATGTTCTGTTACTTTTGTCTTGAGCAGATGGTATGATTTTGTCAACTGATTGCCTGATAGGGTTTTCTATTAGTCCTGCAGATCTATTGGTTGGGTCAGAGCTAATAGGCCACACTCCTGTGAGTTTCATGAGAAAGTGCTTTTCATGCGAAATACCTTTTACCTGTGAAAAGCTTTGAAGCTCTGGGAAGTAAATTTATTTTTTAATGGTCTGCTGGAAGGTGCTGATTGACAGTCATGGAGACAGGAGCTCTCCGGGTGTCCGTGCAGCAGTTCCAACACGAGCAGCAGCACTTCCAGCTTCTGTTCCCGTGCCATGCATGCCCTTACCCTTGGGCTGCTTAGGGTCACAGCCAGCCGTGTGGTCTAGACCATTAACACAGCCAAAACAGGCTGAGAGATAAAGGAGATGTGCTGTGTGCTATTGACATTAGGTGAGAATAGAGTTCATTTGTGCATATAGTTCTATATGAAGCTGATTGTGGCCCAGTTCTGCCACATGTGCCATTTTGGAGGCTCACCGTGCCCCCACCCCACTGCTCTCAGCATAGGGTGCCATTGGAGCTCTGAAGAATTACTTCTGAAGGTGGGTTTTAGTCCTGTACCTTAATTTTGCTCCTTAATAGAGATGTGCTTCCAACTGCCTAGTGTGGATATCTCTTTGTAGCAAACTGTAATTTTGACAAGAAACTTATCTTTGGACCTCTCTAATGATAAAGTAAAACCTCTCTAGAGCCTCATTCCCCCAACTTTCAGAGTTGGAAACTCACACAAGCTTATGTTGAAAAGGAATTGATTATTCAAAGCTCTCGTGCTTCATAATCTACTTAAAACATGTAGATTGACTGCCTCATCAGAAAAGCTGTAGACTCTACTTTGCTATATAGCCCTCTGGGTCGTGTGCTAAAGGCCAGGAGACCTATGGCTAGTTGCTCACAGGCTGTGTGCCACTCCAATTACAGGTTATTAATTTCCCTTGCATTCCAGAGACAGTTCCACATGAGTGAAAAGGAATACCATACTGCAGCGTTCTTCATTACTTACTGTCTATACCACAGCAAAATACTGATTTCTTTCTCCCCTCCTCCCCCTTTTTTTTGTTTCCCTGGCCTGTGGAAGATGTTTTACAGTTTTAATGCAGCCGTTTTAAGTGTGACTGTTCCTGTTCAAGGGCAGCTGATGTACTTTGTAATGCCATTGAACAGCCAACAAGCTATGTTCCCCCATTGTGTTGAAGTGATAGGTATGTTTGCTAATCAAGAGGAGAGCAGAGCTTGCTGTCTGACTTGTTTATGTTTTATTTCTCACCATCAAGCTTTAGAAGGAGGCACAGAAGTATGTAAGCATCTATATTATTCAGTGATATATAGATGAACACGAGCACACAAGCAATGTGAAGAGTATTGCTGATCTCTTCTCATCAGTCATCACCAAAATTAGCAAGATATCAGGGTTACCACGTAATCCCCAGTACTCCTCAAAAGAACCATCAACCTGGTGTATTGTTGGCTATATTGTTAATTAATTGTTACTTCAACCTGTTAGATTTTTTTCTTTTTCCTCTTGTGTTGGCTTCAGTGTTTTTTTCAAAAGCAGTCACGAAACGGGAGGATTTTGATAGAAAGTCTTCATAGTCTTCATAGAAGACTAATGGGAAGTGATCAGATGAAGAGATGCTGCCTGGTTCCCATCACAACTGCATTTTAACTGCTTGTAGGCCGTGTGTTTCTCCTCCCCTGATGCAGGGTGGAAGCAGTTTGTCTCCTGGAACTGGAGAATCTCCTAAGATGTGCTGGCAGCTCAACAGCAGAGTGCACCCACTTGTGCTTCTGTGCCATTCCTGGGGCTCCAAGCTCTTGCCCTGATTCCCTGGAGTTCATCTTGCAGGGAATGTGGGATCATGCAGAGTCCCACCTTAGCATGGATTTATGCATGGCTTTGGAGGTCTCATTCAGCTCCCTTGCAAAACCATCTTTAAGCATTCTGCAAGTTTAAAAAAACCACATGTTTTGGCATCTTTGCATCCATTCCAGCAGGAATCATGATAAAACAGTATGCAAGAAGACTGAAAGTTTCACGTCACAGCCAGACATTCATGAGTACTGAGAAAATTCCACCCATCTTTGCATGGGAATACATTTTCAGGAAAGAGAAGGTGGGATTTTGTTCTTGTTTTCCTGGGATGGCTTGGTTTTGTGTTAGATCCTGTAACCTGGAGGGCGGGGAGAAGAGCTGACCTGCAAACAGCTCTGCAATGCTGCTGCTACTCCCAGCCTGCAGCTCAGCTCTTGGGTAGCTGGATAGGTAACATCTGCTTAATAACATTCCTGCCTGCTGTTAGTTTTATCAGTCCCATTTTTAATGCAATGCCGAGTTTTGCACTGTCATTTTACCCCCTGTCAAGTGACTGGTAATGATTTTATTCCATACCTTTTTTTTTTTTCCCCCTCTTAGCAGATGGAGAATAGTGCTCTTTAACTTGTTGGGTTTTTTGTTTTGTCGGTTGTGTTTTCTTTTGTTGTTTGTTTTTAATAATGTGAAACGAGTACCCTCAGTTAATACACTAATCTGTTTGGTAATTAATTCCCTGTGGTTTTCCTCCATTTTTGCTGGTACATTGAATTCTGAGTGCAATTCTGTAAACTCAGTAATTTGATTACTTAAAGGAGAGGTAATGAATTTCATGATAGAGGTATAAGTCTTTAGGAAATATTAAATTTCAGGGAGCAAATGGATTCTATTACTGTAGTTCAAAACCAGCTTGTATCCAGGGTATAAGCGTGCACTGACAATAATATACTCCTCTAAAACACAGCCACGTTGCTGTCAGTTAGTCCTAAAGCAAATTGCATTGTCAGAAATCTGACACACACACCCTCCTACAAAAACCTGCTGTATTTCTGTATGCAGATGTGATGGCAGTATCAAAACATCAGCATCCCACCATGTGGATTTATGTTTTTTATTGCTTGTTTCCAGTAGAGGCAACAGTGTATTAAGGCACAGTGCACAAATGAAGAGGAGAGACTCTCATTGCTTCTTGCAGATCACTTTGGCTGCTTTTTGGGATGCAGCTTGAGGTGGTTTTGCTGCCCTTTCTTTGCATTATTTGACAAGAATTCCAACACAATTCAAGGCCTCTGGAAAATGAAGTCATGGTTGTTGAAGCTGGTTACTTAATTCTCCAGTTTGTTGTTTAAAAATGGTAAAAAAAATATTTACAGTAAAAATATTTTACTTTATGGAGTTTGTTATGCAGGATACCTCCTGTGTATGGTTACCTAGAATTTAAAAAGCTACATGGTAATTGTAAGCCCAGCCAGACTCTTGCAGGTATTACTCTCTTGCCTAAAAGATAAATAATAACAGAGGAAAGAAAACTTCTATCTCTAAAATTAGAGTCATCAGTGCTGTAACCACAGTAGTAGAAATACGTTTTGGAAATGTATTTTTGGTTGTAAAAGCTTCAAGCCTTTGGGCAAAATGGAGAAGTAGCACATCCAGCCTGCTATTGCAGAACCATTATCATCTCCAAAGTTAAATAGAGAATGCTACTGATATTTTTTTTCCCCTGATTTTAGGATCAGGTCATTATTTTTGCATTTTTATAAGATTATGTCACACATTTCATTGTGACATCATCCCAGTGTGGCTGAGAGAAAAAGGACAATGCAGAAGTATCAAGGCATCAGTTCTCACCAAACACTGTGCTGTAATCCTCTGGTTTCTTATGATCTGGGGGTTTCTGTGACAGCACAGTGGATGCACAGGCTCAACAGTGATCCTGTCTCCAAAATCCATCATCTGTAAACACGTTTGTGTTTTTGTTGTTCCTTTTAACCAGAAGTAGTGGCGTGCTTGCCTTCTTAATTGCAGACTGAGTGTACAAAAATGTCATCTTTGGAATCCTTTGCAGTCCCAGACAACATGGTTATGAAGATCCTGGAGAGACGCCTAAATGCACCAGACTGCATGACCAAGGGCTGGGTGCTTCGTGGCTTCCCAAGGGACATAGAGCAGGCAGAGAGGCTGCAAAAAGCATGTATTATTCCAAACAGGTAAGATATATATTTAGCACATTACATACATTGCAAATAAGCCTGTGGAGAGATACAGATCTTTACTGACATTATGTAGGCAGCTGCAACTTCTCTGTTTATTCTTTCCATGTGTAGAAAGGGGGTCTCACTCCCAAAGAGCTGGAAATAGAGCGTTGGCTTTACAAATCCTTACAAATTACAGATCAGATGGCCAAACTGTGGAAGAGAGGAGAGGTTGTTCTGCTCTTTTGTCTGAGTTGCTTCTAAAGGCAAATGGTAAAACCATAAGAAATGGATTAAAGTTTGGATTATATCAGGAGGTGTATTTTTATTTGCAGCAGGAGGGGGATCTACATCCTCTTGCTTTAGCATTGGCATAATATCATGGAATATATTAATACTGCAAGGACTCGTTATGAGAGTTTTGGGTTTTATGAAATAATTAAAGACAACATGAGAATTATATTTTATCTGAGCCATAAAGCACTGCTCAGAAATGCAATATAGGAGAAAAGAGCATCAAAAGAGAACTTGTATGACAGGCAGATACAGTGGGGTTACTCTTCACAGCTGGTCCAAAGGTGGTGAGCATTTGAAATGTTGGTAGACTCATCTATGCTGAGAGGCTTTTCCATTCTGCTCCAGGAGTTCCTGGTTCAGTTTGTACAACTGGGGGACACAGTGGCCACTCCCAAGGCACACGGTGGAAATATGTGGTCCTTATGCTTCTAAAAACTTGTTTCTATCTAAGAACTAATGGTGGAAAAAGTATTTAAGTTGGTGAAGGTATTCTTCCTGTGTCTTCTCTGTGGCTGCCTTCATCATGAAAAAAAAGTGAAGAAAGAATCTTGTTAGCAATCTAGTGATAGTTAAATAGCATTTCCCATGGATTGTTCTTCCTGTGCACTTAAAAAGTAGATCCATAGTCTCTGAACAAGTATCTGAGCACATGAGAGCACTGTGAATGCTCCAGTGTGTGCAGCATGCTCCTTTACAGGGCTGGGACCTCATCAAGTGAGGAAGAACAACTCGTTTTAAGATCTTCCATGTAGAAATTTTGCACTCATCCATTTCTTCAGCTTCCATTTTCTTTAAAGAGGGATGCACATTCAGATCTGACTTCAGAATTTGGCCCTTACTATTTTACACATGGCTTGAAGTAGGGGACAAAAATAGGCATCATGCTACCTGATTGATTTTGGAGCTGTTATTTTCCATGCAGCTGAAGCAGTAGGTGTATGAGGGAGAGAGGGTGATTATAAACAAAAGGACATATTGCAGCATAGGATAGCAGGGCAGTAATTCAGTTGCAGTTGTGATGCTAGTTATAAAACACTATCTGCAGAGGTGGTGTTTCTGACATCAGGAGAAAACCCTGATAGAATTATAGCCCTGAAATCAATCTGGGAATAGGATGCAGAAATCTATAAATCAGACACAGAACAATCTGCAAAGTCTCATTTTTAGGAGGACTCTGTTGATGAAATTAGATTAAAATAAATTTACATATATATCAAGTTTATTATTAAAATCTAGTCACATCAGTAAACAAAATTATTTGTGAAAGAGTATGTTACTCTGTGTTTTGAACTCAAAGTAGACCTCTTTGGCTGATCAGAACACAGAGTTATTGTCTGGTTGTCAAGTCATAAATCTATTCCTTAGAGCTAATAAATGGTTAGTGTTCAAATACTATGTTTTATCTGACTCCCACCTCATAAAGCTAGTACACATAATACTAAATTATACAGCATGGAGCAGGATCAGTCTCCTGACTCCTCCATCTTATGGAAAGAAAAACAAACTCAGTAATTGATGGTAGAAAAGAAGGAAAATAAAGTTATTTGAAAACAAACAAAATGGGCCATAAAGTTTGTTAAAATGTAACAATAAAAAAAACTCATAGGGAGTCAGCCACTGCATCCAAAGAACTGCCCTGGAACAAAAAGGAAAATAATTCATCTTCTACTGAAAGAGGAAGGTGTAAGGTTTTGTTTAAATTAGAATTTGCAGTAGAGGAAAGGCTGGCTTATGGGCTGGTGCAAGAAGATCTCCTTTGCATCAGAAAAAAACTTGTCTACCAGAGAACTCCTCTTCCTATACTCAGAGAAGAGCCTTGTACTGCTTTCTGTGTTCTTCCCCATGAAGCAGTACTGCTTAAGTGGACAGGATCCTAATCGCATTGAACTGTGGCAGCCTTTAGGGCAAATGAGAAGCTGAATCCATTAGTGGTCTCACAGCTATCTAGTAAAAGAACAACATTAACCACTTACTGACTGCGGTAAGTGGGACTCCAAGCACCATTACAGGTTGGCATCTGAAGCTCAGAACTTCTAATGCAAGAGACTGAATGCAGTTCCTCATCCAAATGACCATAAATAGGCATTTTAGCTTTCTTCATTGTTAATGCTTGAGCAACAACAAGAAATCATAGCACAGAGCTGGGCAGTTCTAATATAAAGTAAACTCTACTTATTATTTTGCAAAATCTTTCTTGTCTCTTACTTCTCCCTCCCAAGTATAAATAAAACAGCTCAGCAGCAACAATCTCATCTGTTATTTTTCTCTAGTCATTAGCTTCAGCTCATTCATAAACCTTTGGACCAAGTAGGAATGGGTTTCACTTGTTAATTTGGCATTATATGCAAATGCTTTGCTGGGGCTTTTTGGGGTTGTAAAAAGAAACAGTTGTAAGTATTTCCTGCACATCCTCTCCTCACACTCCTGTTTTATATCCTCTTGTATATCCCAGTTCAGCCTAGGTTCCCCATAAAAGGATCTTGACATGTTCACCTGTTCCTTTTTTGGAAGTCATTTCACTTTTCTGATGATGCTGTTCACTGTTCTCTTCTTGTAGTTCTTCTAGCTGTTCCTTTTCTATGATGGGACAACCAGAACCCATTCAGCTTTCAACCCAGTGCTGTGTACTGGATATGTATATATAGGGCACAAATACATTCTTATTTTATCTCCATTAATAACCACTCATATTCCATTAGATGTTACTGTGATGTATTTGGGAATAAAGTCTTGTGTGTAGATGGTGGTAACTGTACAGTGTTTCTTTCATTGAAAACATACAGGAAAATGACAAAGTGTAACCAATCTCAACTGAATGTACAAACTCAGCAAGAAGGAGCCTGAGGACCCTTTAACTCAAGATCTCTGTAGTTAAAATTATAGCCTAGTCTGTGTTAGAGTCCCCCTCAAGAAGATAAAACGACTATTTCCATCTGTTCCAATGGGGGCTACTGCTAAGGGTGTCCTGAGATTCTCATTTTCTCTGCTACACCACTTGCTTTGTTCTTCCATTTATTCTGAATCCAGGGCTGATTGTTTTACATCTCAGTATTGATTAATTATGTTACAGTAGTACCTACAAACTTCATTATTAACAGATAACAACGTTGTCAGTTCCCATCTCATCTAATATGCAGAAAATTCACCCAGCCATACACCATGTGGACAGACAAAGCTGGGGAGGATGCTGAACTTGAGAGATGATGTAGCACTACAATGAACCAAGTGTGCAATATACTTCAAATACCCATTTTTTCCAATACTAAAGGTTTTTCTTTCCCAGTGGAGAAAACAAACAGCAGTAGCTTCTCCAATACAAGTTTTCCAGTGCTGTTTTATCTGGTCTTCAAAAGGATGTGGCTGTATCTCCAATTATATGATCTTTTTACATAATAGATTTAAAGCTTCTTTTTCACCAGGCTACCAAGAACTTGTGTCCAAACAGATTAGGATAATGAAGTTCCTCATTTCTAACGTAGCATATGTGAATATGTTGAGAACAAAAAGAAAAAAATCAGAATGGGAAAAAAAAAAAAAAAAA